CTTCTGGATGCATCAAACTGAGGGTGAGGAACACATCATAAAGCACAAACTGCTACTCACCCACACTCCCCTTGAATCCTAGCATGACTATATCTCAGGAACAACAGAAGAAACTAGGAAAAACCCACCCAAAGACTCTAGGAAGGACAGGAAACAGATTTTGACAAGCACTGGGAACAACTTAATGCTGCAAAGTATTCCCTCCCATCCTCCACTCTTGGCTCCTCCTGGAAGACTTTGCTTCGTCTGGCCTTTGCCGTCAAAAAGGGGTCTTCTAGCACTCACACACACAGCTTCCTTGGAGAGAGCACAAATTTGACCACTCCGTGAAGGGTAAGGACTTGGCTCTTTGATATCAGGGAACAGTGCACAATAGTCTCTGCCGTTCTGCTGGTGGCAGCTGGAATGTCCTTCGGGGTTTTGGACCAGCTTTCTAATTGGCCAGGCTTGCATAATACAAAACCAGGGGTCTCCAACCATTCTGGAGCCATGGGCACATCTGGCGATTTGAGGCACTGCTGTAGGAGCTACCAAAAAATAGCTTCCACGCAAGATGTGGCTATTCATCTAAGAGCTGCCAGGCGGGCCTAGCCAGTCTAAAAGGTGGCGAGGAAGAGGGCAAAAGACTGAGACTAGAGGCTTTGATGGGAAGGGACACACCAGAGCGAGTCAGAGGCAAAGCTGTTTGTGAAGGTGAGAGAAGTGGGACAGAGAACGGGAATGGAGAGAAAGAGAGCGAGCAAGCGGGAAATGTCTGATTGGAGGAAAGACAACTGGATGGGCTAGGAAACAACTCTTTCTTCCTGCACACTGAACAGCTGATCGGTAGCAGAAAACCTGGCTTCCTAACATTTTTTCAAGTTTCTTTTTTTTACGGTAAAAATGCATTTTTGAAATGGAGAGGGAGTGGTGAGCTTTGCAGGTGCCACTGGAGGTCCCAGAGAGGCCACGTTCAGGATCTCTATCCTAAAATGTGCTTTGGGCTGGGGAGGGTGACTTGTGCCCCCACCCCCGGATGTTTAGGTCCACTATACTATCAACAGCCAGTATAGCCAGTGGTGGGGAAAACAAGCAATACACTCCCAGCTTAGGGAAACAAGCCAACTTTGCGCAATGGTTTATGACCCTGCCTCGATCCTTTAAAGTTAAGATAAACCATAACTCTTTGGTTCACATGAAATAAGTAACCGACCAGTTGAAAAGGGAAGGCAAAGGTTCCGGCCCCCTCCCTCCTGGCCACACTGGGAGGAGCCCAAGGCTTGGCCGGGCTGCTTCCCAAAACGCTAAACTCTGGTTTACCATAACATATGAAAGCAACTGTTGCCTGGAAACCAAGCTTCCCTGCCACATCACTGACCCAGCTGCCCTGGGCACAGAAGCCCCTCTGTCACAGGCCTGACTTGACATGACCCCACTCAACCCAGCCCGGCTCCTGCTGGACCGCCCGCTCTTCCTCCCACTACAGCTCCTATGGATGCAGGCCTCTGCACTGCTTCCACAGTCACAGTAATTACGTGTTACTGGCTGCTGTAAAACCAAAATTAATGTGTGATGGTAACCTGAGCAGGCCCCTGACAAACTGCTACCCTCTCCCACCCTCCTGGCTGTGGGATGCTTCACGAGTGACAGATTTTCTGACTTGAAGGTCACATGTTGTTCCAATGGGGTGAGTCCTTTGAATGTCTGACCTTGAGGCTGGCCCTTTCAACATTGACTTTTCTGCCACAGGACCCGCAGGAGTTGCCAACAGCTCTGGGGCTCACTCCCTATCCACTTGGGGTACAAGCCACACCAGGCACCTTTATACATTGAGGACACATCCTCGAACAGCCTTCCTGTACACATCTAAAGAAGAAGGCTGGAGAAGCCTCCCTGGCATTATGTCCTCCGGGGCAGACTGTCAATGGCAGGAAAGCAACCTTTTGGAGAAAGCATTTTATTTCTTCAATGGACAGGCAGCCTCAGAGCCAATGCCTGCAAGCATGTATGATGTTAATCTGACAGCATCAGAGCAGGTCCTGGGGCCAGCTGGTAGGGACAGAGCTCCATACACATGGGATGTCCTCTTCCTCCTCTGCTACCCATTAGCGCTTTTCAGAGAAAGGAGGCATGCTTAGGAGAGAGGGTCCTTGAAGGAGCTCACACAGCATATGCAAATTTGTGCATTTCGCTTTTGTCTTGCGGGCCTGAGCCCCAGATCTTTTTGGCACCCAGGACCACCCTGTCCATCACGCCCCACACCCATACTTCGAAAGTTGCTGGGATGTGGAGCAGAGCCCCCAGCAAGATTCCTCCATAGCAAATGCCCCTTCGGGTGTTATCAAGCTTCCCAGCGATCGAGTCCAGGGATCCCAAGAAAGGGGAAGTGCAGGTGCAAATATAAGAAGGTTCTTCAGGCTTTGGAAGAATGCAAAGATTGGCAATGGTGACTGTGGGGTGGGGGGGGGGGAGAGCATGGACTTTTTAAAACAGCAGCTTCCACAAAAGCTGAGTCAGTGCCCCAGCAAGTTTGGACAATGCAGAGATGGAAGCAGCAGCACAGGCACCAAGAAACAAGAGAGATGTGGCAGCTGGGGAGAGAGAAAAGAGCAGGGAGGAAGGAGAAGGCCAAGCAAAGCCCAAGGGACAGAAGCCTGCTCAGACACCAAACAGGAACTGCAGCAATTGGAGAAATCAAATCGGCTGCATTTATCGGGATAAATAAGCCTGCCGCTTGCAGAGCCTGTTGGGAATGAGAAGATACCGTGGGGCTGGCACAGAGGATGCCAATGGCTGCCAGGCCTAAAGGGCTTTGACGTGCTGCCTGGCTGGTCCCACTTCGAGTTAGCTTCGCTCATCACCACACAACCTGTGCTTTCTGCTAGCGGTGCACTCTAAGACTGTGGAGACTGCTTTGCCGGGCCGGGCCATTTGGCACAGTGTCCCACTTCAGACGCAGACAGTGAGATGCCTCCAAGAATTCCATGAACAGGCCATGCAGGCAAGGCCTTCTCTGCTCCTTTTGTCGGTTCCTCTCAAGCATCTGATATGAAGAGATGGACAGCCTCACACAGGGAGTTCCCATTGAAAGATATATAGCCAAGGAGAAGCTTTCATTCATCTAAATTCCATAAATCTATCTAATTACATTTTCTAAGGAAGATCATTATGTGCTGCCTTACATGCATTCAATGAAGCACATTTTCCCTCTGGTTAAACAAAACCTCCAAGTACCTTAAATCACATGCTCTAAAAAGAATTCAAGTATGGACAGGCCAGGGAGTAAGGGCTGCACATGAGCTGGCAACAACTGCAACAGAAACTCTGCTCAGAATTCCCCTTTCCTCATGGTCATCATTGGCTGCTCAGCTTCTGCACGTGAGCAGGCAGCTAAGGGCTGTAAGAAGAAAGTTCTGCCAAAGCACCCGGAGGCCTTTGCCTGGGCTAGAGGCAGGAGGCCGAGCCAGTGTCTCCGACCCTTTCGGCCTTGCTCAGAACACTAGTTGCCAATCAGTGATACAGCAGTCGGGGGGCCTTCACCAGGCAGTGTCAGTAATAAAGGACCAGCAGACCATGCGTGAACAGGCCGTTCAGTCCTGGTCAGGCACCTGGTTAGGAACAACTTAGATCATCTCGCCCAGCATTGTGGACGCTTAGCAACAATGGCTCTCTAGGGATTTGGGCTGCATCTGCTGCCTCGCCTCAAGATGGCAGGAATTGAAACTGGCCCCTTTGACATGCAAAGCAGGGTAACTGCACAGTGCTAGAATCATGGAGACTGGCCTTTCGAGATGGGGTCTGTTTCTGCTGCAATATACTTCCAACCAGTGCTGGAGCAGTGCTTTGGACACTCCCCCAACCCCTGCTGTCCAGGCTTCACCCAACTGTTCATCCCTGGGTTCAAGAAAAAGGAGGGGCTGTAGCTCAGTTCTAAGAGCACCTGCTTTGCAGGGAGAACAATCTGTGGCATCTCCAGGTAGGAAAGGATTTTGCTGCAAGTCAGTTACTATCCCACTCTGCTTCCTAGCTGCTATTCTCTTCATGGGAAGGAGAGTATTAGCTTGCTCCAAGCTGATGCCCTCCAGATGTTTTAGACTCTAACTCTTCTCGGCCCAAGCCTGTATGACATAGAAACAGAGCGAGTCAGAAGGGGTCTCCCGGGCCATCTAGTCTGACCCCCAGCTCTAGCCAGCTCCGCTCACGACATGCCCACCATGTGCATGTCCTGCCTATCCTTGAACACCCTCACCGATGGGGCCTCAACCTCCTCCCGTGGGAGCCCATTCCACACCCTCAGGGTCCTGACTGTCAGGAAGTGCTTCCTGGCATCTAAATGGAACGCTGGTTCCCTGAGCTTTGCTCCGTTGTAAAAAAAAAAAAGTAGTGCTCACCAGGCAGAAGAAAGCGCTGCTCCTCCGGAAATGCTCTCATCTGTTTACAGGTCTGAAGGAAGGCTGGCAAGCTAGTTTGCAAAGGGGAGGGCGACCACAGGCCCAGCTACAACCGCCAGCCCACCACGCATGGTGCTGCAGTGGCCACCTGTCTGGGGCTTGGAAACTGTGAGGAGAGGAGCAGCTGGAAGATAGAAAGGCAAGACTTTCCCCTGCTGGATCACAGCAAGGGCCCATCTATCCTGATCAACAGCCAGATGCCTCTGGGGTGTCACAAGCAGGGCATGAAGAAAATGCCCCACTGCTGTTCTTTGCCCCCTGCATCAGGGAATTAGAGGTCGCCTTTCTCAGAGCAGTGGGATTCAGTAACTATCACAACAGCTGTCTGCTTGTGGGCAACCAGCCACCACTGATGTGTGTGTGTGTCTGTCTCCGTAAGAATTGCCCAGCTGAATGAAAGAAAACACAACCCATCTACCCCGGCATCATGCTTCCAAAAGGGACTAGCTGGTTCTCTCTAGGATGCTGCCTTTTAACAGCTGGCATTTGGGGGAAGACTAACACTGAACCAGACTTGTAAAAAAAAAAAAAAGAAAGAAAGAAAGAAAAGAAAAGCCCACAAAAAGTTACCAGCCAGCAAATATTCTTCTTCTAGCCTGCTAAGGCGGCCAGCAGCGTATATTCTCATGCTGCCTTTGGAATGATCCTGAAAAGGAAATGCAGGCTATAAGCTTTTAAGCAGTGGGGTATGAGGTAGCGAAGGAACTGCTTTTCACCAAGGAGGTCGGCAGAGGTGTTTGTGTGGCTGCAGAAGAAGGGCTGGTGGATTTGTCCCCACAGCCTGTTCAGCTGCCTGCATGGAATTCCTGATCGCTTTCTGCAACCCTGAGACTTGTTAAATATAAGGCTAATTTATCTATCATAGCCACTGACAGATCTACTTAGTTCCATGAATTCGTATAATACAAGCTTAAAGCCACTTAAGCCAGAGACTACAATAACGTCGTATAACCATTGAGAATATAGTTGTATGGAAGCAAAGCACAGCACAGCACTCCAACAGTAATCCTGAGAGCATCTGAAAATTATCAGGATCACCATGCTGAATGAGATCAAAGGCCATAAGAAAGGCCACACTGGATAAGTCCAAGGGCTCATCCAGTCCAGAATTTTATTCCTACATAGTTATATGAAAATAGGAAACTCACAAGCGGAGTGCAACAGCACCCACCGACCCATGCTCCTCAGCAACCAGTATACAGAGAAACTGGGCCTCCGATACGAGAAAAAGCATAGTGCCTTCCCAGCTAGTAGCCATCCCATAGCCCTGGCCTCCTGGAATCTGCCTAATCCCCACTTAGGACCATCCAAGCTGATCTCCATCACTACAACTTCCACTAACAAATAATACAGTTTGACTCTACCCTATGAAGCAGCACGTCTTTTCCTGTACCCCTCACTAGATAATTCCGGGTCCTAATATTATGATAGAGGAAGAAAAATGTCTGCTAATCTACTATCTCCACACCAGACATAATTTTATACACGCCTGTCATACATCCAACTCCAAGCCCCTATTTTTTCTAAGTTTCCCTCATAGGGTAATTGCTACACCCTTTTGATCATTTGGGGGTCTCCTTTCACGTACCCCTTTCCAACTCCAGATTTGTATAATGATGCTATAGCAATGATGTGTGTTTTATTTTCCATCACTTTCTAACCATCTCTGGTATGGAATTTGCTTTCTTCTCAGTACTCACACAGCAATGTTTACACTGAGCTCTCCATGACCACAAGATGCCTTCCCTTCTCTGCTACCACCACCTCAGACCGCATCTCCATATCTGTGAAGTCAGAGGGGATCTTGCCCCAACAAACTTCACTTTCACTTCCTTCCTCTGAGCTGCATTTGCCTTTCAAGACCAAGTCCTGCAGTTTGCAGAAAACCTTTTGGAACCCACCTTGCACAGAAGTGAGGAAACAGGCCTTCCAGGTAGATCTGTACTCCAACCTTCACCCACCCCAGTTAGCATGGATGAGTCCAGAATCAAAGACCACTACAGGTATCTCACCCCTTGGATCTAGTACAATCTCCCATTTCAAACAGTGGCCAGCCAGTGGCTGTTCAAAAACCTGCAAGCGAGTCATGAAGGCAACAGCCCCATTTCGTTACTTGCCCCCTCCCTAGGCTGCAGACCGAGCCTAAACGGAGGAGGTCCCACTCCCAAATATGATCGGAGCCGTTTAATATACCAAGAACCCGGCTGAATCGGACCAAGGTGTGTCTATCCAGGGCAGAAACTAGTTAGCGTGTTGGACTGGTACTTGGGGGACTCGGGTTCTAGCTGCCTTTTCCCATGATACTCCCTGGGTGGCACTGGACACTCACCCTCGGCCTAACCTACCTCACAGCATTGTTGTGAGGTTAAAATGAAGAAGACTGATGAATGCTGCGTTGCACTCCTTCAAGGAACAGGTGGAATATAAATGAAACAGGTGGTGGTGGTGGTGGTAAGAAGCAGAAGCAGCCCAAATCAGGGAGAGAGTGCTCTGGAGCTCAGTAAGGGTGCGCAGGGCTACACTACCCCAATGCATGGGGAGCTTCCTCGTGAAGAGCTGCTGAAACAACCTCTTTTTCTTCCTTTATTGTCTCCTCCTACCTGCCTTCAGCATGCACTGCCTACAACCGGCTTTGGCATTATCTAACAGCAAAATCCTTGGTTTACGGTAAAAAAGAAGAAAAGGGGAACGGGAATTTGAAAAAAAGTGGCAAGCAAGCCCAGGTGCGAGCTAACCCTTCGGCAGCACAGCGCCTTCTGCCTCACTCCAAGCCCACCCTGCAGGAAGCCCCTTTGGGCTCAGACAAGGAGAGGTTTCAACACCGGTTCAAAACGGACAGCCACACGCAGGCAGCTGCGGATGCTGCTCTGCCTCGAGTCCTCCAGCCAGCATGAAAAGCAAAGTGACGTTGCCACTGTAAAAGACATATTTCAAGACAGGACGCACAAAATGGCTGTCTCCCAAGACGAAGCGTTTCTATACAATGCTATAAAAAGGACAATCGCCTAAAAAGGAAAGAGGGATTTGACAGCCAGGCTGACTGAGGCAGCGGTGGTAGAGAGAGATGCGAGCAGATCAAATCCCCCACTTCGTCACCCCCTCCCCGACAGACTGGCTCAAACCCCAATGCTTCCTTCCGACCGCACCTCGTCCCGACATATTTGCTCACATTCTCATTCCGCGATCAACTTGCAAAGAGATGCATTATGACGCGACTGTGTCTTGAGTTCAGGGACTTGGGTGGTGGGGGTGGGATATCATGCTGAGAGGCGGGAGACGAAGAGGCTCGCCTTACAAGCAAAACAAGTCTCTCTTTCAAGCAGCATGCGATCCAAATTCCGCTGCAATCCATGGCAAGGAACAGGATTTCTAGCAGGGCTCCCCACCCGATGCACAGCAATTCTCAGAATGCGTGTGGCGACAGAGGATGGCCCCAAACACACCGGGCTCTGTTTATGAAGGAAGCGGAGAGGAGCTGCCGACGCAGTATCCGTACGAGCCATTTCGGCGCAAACTCATTGAAAACAGCTCTGCCGCTCACTCTCCCTCCCCTTTCTGGCTCTTCAGAAGCAAGCAGTCTAAGGGAAGGGGAAAAGCTCACAGTACAGAAAAGGGGTCCTTAAGATGGTAAAAGCCACTGGTGTTAAAAGAGGGTATCCTTACTCCCATGGCAATGTTAAAGGGGAAGTGGGAAAAGGTCTGCGACTCAAGAAACCAAATGAATGGAGAATGCAGAGGCGATGGTTTGGCCTGCTGGAACGTAAGCAGAGCTGCACTCAATGACAAGGGAGCCTAGCAGATGTCTGAGCAAGTCCACTGCAAGAGAAGGCAGTGGATGCTGCTGCAACAGATCCCAAAACTCTTTGGTTCTGGCTGGGGCTACATGGAGCAATAGCAAAACTTCACATTTATTAAGCAGCTGGAGCGGCTTCAAGGCACTTGCTACACACTCGCTCACTAGCCCTTATAACAGTCCCTTTCTGATATAAAGCGGTCCTGTATGGAATGAAAAAATGAATAGAGCATGTGAAAACGGTGGTGAAAGGGGCATATTCCATACTGGGGTTATTAGGGAAAGGGAGGAAAAATGGGATGGCTAGCAGAAGAATAAAAATGCTAAAGGTTTCCCCATGTCATTGAAGTCCAGTCATGGCTGACTCTTGGGGGCGGTGCTCATCTCTGTTTCCTAGCCGAGGGAGCCAGCGTCTGTCCGCAGACAGTCTCCGTGGCCGTGTGGCCGGCATGACTAAACACCGAGGTGCACGGAATGCTGCTACCTGCCCACCGAGTGGTTCGTTTTTATCTACTTGCATTTGCATGCTTTAGAACTGCAAGGTTGGCAGGAGCTGGGACAGAGTACGGGAGCTCACCCCATCTGCGGATCCGAACTGCCGACCTTTTGATCAACCAGCTCAGACATTTAACCCACTGAATACTTTTATCTAAATCTTTAGTGCAGCTGCATTAGGATTACTTTGTACGTTTCCAGTTGCCTTGTCTCTATTAGGAGACTGCAAACCTAAAAAAAGTACTAGAAAAGGTTCTAATCCCTGCCTGACCATAAAGTTCAGGGGGTGACTTTGGGCTCACCCTGCCTCCAAGTGTACTGTGTTCTCATCTTCCCCACACTTTCTGGACAAGTGAGAGATACGGAGGGAAGGCCAGGCTAGTGAGGGGTTTCCGTGGCTTGGGAGGACATTTCAACCAAAAACCCTCCTCACTCACAGCTCCCTTCATGCTATCGGGTCCTGTCAAATTTCTGAAACTGTATTTTATTGATTTTATTATTATGGACAATTTACCTCTTAAGGTGCTTTTATAACTTGAATGTGCTTGTCTTACATTGTAAGCTACCTGGGAAAGACCACTGTCTTGAAGTAAATTGGGTAAGAAGTAAATTAAGGGAATACAAATTAAGAATAAGAAGCCACAAGTGGCAGCATATTTCATTTCAGGCTACATATTAAAAGTAACATTTTTGATGCACTTCTTACATTTAATCCTAAAATAACCCCCCTGCCCCCACCCCCAATCTTGCAAACAGAAAACTAGGACAACAAGAAGAAAGGTTCTAGCTGGTCTTCTCCATGCTATACTCCTTTCCTATTTACAAGAAGGCTGCTTTTTTCATGCATGGAAAAAGAAGCTTCGCTTTGCACTCAGTAAGGAACACACTCAGTTCTACCACCCCAGGATTCTACTGCTTCATTTTCCTACAGGTAGACCTGGGTATGAGATGGTGTAATAGGGACAGTACCATTCAGACTGAACGTTATTACATTTTGGAAAGCCCCTCTTCCAGGAGAGGATGGAAGGAAGCAGCAGGACAGGGAAATGGGCTAGGCGAAGACATTTCCCCTCAGTTGGCTTTTTTTTTTTTTTTTTTAATAAAGGCAGCAGGGGAAGCATCAGGAAGTAGCCTCCGCCACCTGCACCAGGTATAATCTGCCCTCTCATGACTCTACCACTTAATCCTGAGGAGCAGGATGTGTACTGGTTCTCTGACTCACACAGATGGAGAAATGTGAAGGAAAGGGGAAATGTAAGAAGGCAGGGAAAAGATGGACTCAGCTGTGTGTTTTGTTTTTAAAAAGGAATCCAAACTTGTATACTGCTACAGATACTGCATTCTGGCGGAAAAATGGAAATGGACGAAATTGCCTTATGCGAGGTCTGCTTGTTGGTCTGTCTCATTAGCTCGGGCCCCACAATTTGGAGACTGCCTCCGTGGGCCCTTCCACAGCCATGAATGTGGCAGGAGACCCTCAGGAGCACATGCTCAGAGCCTTTGCTTCCTGTTTTGGCAGGGTACAGCGAAGCAAAAGAGAAAGAAAAAGACCTGGAACGTGTGAGGAAATTACAAACATACACCGAACACGCAAAGACCATCTTCCTCTGGCCACAGAGCCACCACAGACGACCACCACACTGCTCCAAATCTACAGTAACCGATAGCGGAAGGTGCCAAAACCACCTTCACAGGGGCGATAGGGACAACCCCCATGGGACAGCATGTAAAATTCCTATATAACTGAATAAATATCAATATTTCATCACACAGGCACTGAAATGTGTTCTCCAACACCGAAGTGAAACATAACAATGAAAGAATCTCGGATG